AATGTCTGAGATGGAAGAACATCCAAATCAGAACCATATTGGTGCTCTCACCACACTCTGTGCAAAAATATGTGTGTATGAGAACAAAGTGAGTTCTCCAAAACTCCAAATCTTAATAGCGTTCCAAAAACAATGATACATTGTTTTTTTCCCATTTAGCTGCTGATTAGGTGATAAATCAGTATGGGGTTTGGTGTTGTGACATTGGCCATCAGTCTCCAGCATATTTTTGTAAATGAAAACCAGGGACCATGAAAACCCTTTGTCTATGACATCTTTATCTTGTGTTCATGTCATCTTTACCATGAAAATGTGCTTTAATATATTGACGTTTCTTTTAGATACATTTTTGAGTATAGTGGTACAGCTGTACCATGTATGGTTCACTGTGAACGTACAGTGAAAATGTGGGAAAAGTTAGGAAATGGGAACAAATGTGAGCTTTAAAATGACGTAGTCTGTTTTTTTAATTAATTTAATTAGGCTATATTTAATTTAATTTAATTTACAGTATTTTTTTCAACTGTTTGAACAGGTTAATTGCCTAGATAATTTAACATTGCTTGCAAAGATATGAATTCCACTGAGTACGAGCTCAACTTGATTTTAGGGAAATAATTATTCTCAGAAGTTAGCAAAGTAATTTTAATTTTGCTTTGTCATATAAATTAGAAGTTATAACGCAGTGCTTGATACTAGATGTTTCTTTTTATTATGTACAGAAATTTAAGTGATGAAAGGTTATATTGAATTTTTTTATATATATATTCATAACACTCCTTGCCTTGACTAAATGAAACATATTTTGTAATGAGCTCTGATGATCTGTCATGGAGTATAATATCTCAAAGCAAACATTTCCACAGATTACTCAGAGCTGTTGCCCTGAGACTGTCAAATATTAAACTCGGCAGTGTCTTCGGGTAGTGCAGAGGCTGGGTAGAGACATTATACCTGGCAGAGCTGACAACTAACTGACCACTTGCGGCTCTGCTGGCATTTTGCCTCTCTCCCTTAGAGCCATCCAAATGTAAATATTTCCTTAGTTACCTTGCTTGTTGATCTGCAGACTATTTCCATATTTATATTGCACTCAAAACATTTACTGAAGACAATGTGAATTGACTAAGGTGTTGTTCCATTAACAGTAACACAACGTTTTGCACACAACTTTTTCCTTCTTTTTTAGCTACTGTTCCCCACTCAGATGAGGCAATTAGTGCAAGAAAATGTTAGCACACTGATGCAATGTTTTCTTTATACAGTGCCATCGCAGCTGTGTGTGCATACAGGTAATTTTTTATATACAAATATGTTTGTCCTGTAATTTACGTTTTTTTATATAGTTATTTATATACCGTAACATTGTCTTTTTTCTTATTTGGTATTATTTCCATAATGCAAAAATTGCAGTCAAGCCCTATTGGATGTGTTTTCAATGATTGTGTTTTCAATGATTTCAATGATTAATCACACACACACACACACACACACACACACACACACACACACACACACACACACACACACACACACACACACACACACACACACACACACACACACACACACACACACACACACACACACACACACACACACACAACTCCACTCTCTGCAGAGTCTACATTCTTTGAACCTTGTTTCCTGTTTGTCTTTATGAAACTTAATACACAATCCAGACCAAACAGTTTAATACAGTTTAATCAGCAGCTTTCTGGAACAGAAACACAGTTCATCTAATGACTCTTACATGGAACAAAATTATAATAACCAAATTATAATAACATTGATCAAATAAGATAAAAAAAACAGATTTGTCAGAAAGAATACATTAACCTTTTAATGTGTGTGACGGTTTAAAATAAATAGAAACGAGAGGAAAAACCCCCCCAGAAAACTCTGTGGATGCACTATAAAATACAGGCTTTATTTACATTTTCATTTTTAAGATTAAGATAATCTTCAAATGTCAAATAAGTATTTCAAGCATATTTCTAAAAATCTATATATCAGAGTGTAAATTCCCTTTATCGCTGGCCTGATTGGCTCCAGAATATGCAGAGCTTGGTGGCTCCTTCTTATCAGAGCCTTGCTGAGCCTATCATCACTTTTAGGAACTACAAGGTGAACTCTGACCTCTGATCCCTCTCTTCGCTAAGATATGGATAAGAAACCTAGTTCTCCCAAAACTACTGATAAATGCAAACTTTTAAAAGCACATTTTCACAGAAGGAGTGGGGTCTGGAAATGAGGAACTTCTCCTCTTAAAAGTCAACAGACGCATTAGAGTAAATGAAACATCTCTATCCAAGAATTGTGTATACAGAGGCTTGAATGGCTATTTGAAGGGTAAAAGACAAAAAAAACAAAAAACATTATGAGATTGGTAAAAGCAACATCATGCCATTGATTCAATAAATCACAGGCAGACCGCATCACACGATGCAGAATGGACAAATAACAAAGTCAGCTATGACACTGTGTCTGTTTCACATTACGATTAATCGTTGCATATACAATATAACCACGTTATCAACTCTCTCCCCTCTCCTGTTCCAAGAACAACCATATACGCTGGCATCAATTACCCATCCCAAAATTCGGTTAGCTCTTCTTTTCACAAAGCCGAAACAAAAGCCGATGGCTACACAGAACCACACTGGGGCTGAGGCTAAACAGATTAGCACCGGGGCTGCTGGGTATCTGGTGAGTGTCAGCGGTTGCCTGGCCATGGTTTGAGTTTGCGCGCGTGTGTTCGTTGGACTGGCTTTGGACGTCCTCTCTCAGTCCTGAGGCTTCATTCACTGATACGTTGTCTTGCGGAGCCGGTTTTGAAATCGGGTTAGGGCGACAGGGAGAGAATTCAAGCATTTGCTCGCTGATTTGATTTAGCGAGGGCAATCGGTCGGGCAGTTTCTCTGATTTATAGCTTCCTGCTTCCCTTTTGCTCCTCACGTTGCCCTCTCACATACAGTACTGGATCATGCTGTTAGTGGAAGAGGGCACTCATACTGACCAAAACATACACGCTTGCACACGCAGACTACTTATCAGTGGTCACTAAACACTGGTCCGTGCTAACTGTATTTATTTTAAGATGAAGAAATGCTTCCCACACCGCAGTTAGGGAAATCCTCGATTGCTTTCTGGCAGTCCTCTACAGGCGGTCTATGAGACTTCTCAACACAACAATATCATTTATTTCTGGCCAGGCAGTTGCGAGGCTGAATAATGGCCGCCTTTGACAATGCCACCCGCAGACTGAGAGGGACAGTGGAGATGAAAGCTGGCATGCTGCTAACCTTTGTGTTTCAGAGAGATGATTCTCCTAATTGCTTGTGACTGCACGAATAGCCTTGGAGACGACTGCTGTCCCGGACAGTATTAGGGTGTGCCCGATGCCTGTGTGCCCACACACACAGTCCCACACAAAAGGCCCACAGAGCTGGAGAAACCAGAGTGGCCATTGTGCAGAACCACTACGATTTACACATGGAAACATGGAGCCTTAACAGTTTCCTAGATTTTCAATGACAGCATTTAGTTCAAATACCACATCACAGCCAATAAAGTCCAGTGTTCTCTTTTTTTATCATTCTTATACTATTTATATTATACAGTACACTGATAAAAATGAATTATTGATGCTGTAAATGATAAAAACATTATTTTGACAAATAAATATTTGTTTGTTACTCTATTTTAGTAGGCCACTTAATATGGATTGGTAGCAACAACAAAAAAAATACGATTATACATGTATATTGAACGTATTATTCTGAGTGCACGTGTGTGTTTCCAAGATACTAAGAAAGTTACATTTATTTAAAATGTTTACAACTGAATCCTGTAGCCTTTCATTACTCATCAATTGCATTTGAAATCGCATACACTAAGTAGGTCCTACATTTGATGAAGATCTTCATCACTGTTACAAAAGTGATGTAATTTAATATAGTGTATTGTATGGTGATGTATACAAGATGTGTTTAGTATGGAAATTATAGCATGACTGTGTTTAGTATGAATGCAATCTGATTGTATTAGATCCGCCTCAACAGCATTGTTGTCCCATGGTCTAATAGTGTTCATTCCACGTGAACTTCAGAATCCTGGCGGAAATGGTATGTAGGTCATCCACTTTATGAATACTGTGAATTACTCATTTTTCATTCTACTTTTCACCTATAGGTATTAAAACAGTTGGTGCTGAGGCAAACAATTAGCTCAGAGTAAAAAAAAAAGTCACAAAACATTTTTAAGTAATCCATAGTTTTCAGAAAATAAATAATATTATTGACAAAAATGTATAAAAAAAATACTGTGTTGAGTCAAAATTCCATAGGAAATGAATACGGGTCAGTTTACCCCCCTTAGTAGTGATACAACAATTATATATTTTTTTCCATCCTATGACCAAGAAATATGAAAATTGCATTAATGCGGGTCAGAAACAAGTTTTTTTGAATAAATAATTTTAACTTATTAAAATTAAAAATATATTGTCTTTGATAAAATATTTAAAAAATCACAGCATGTCGGGTCAATTTGACCCCCTTTATGCATTCTAGGGTTAAGAACAACAGTAAATGAAAAGCATGAAAATATGTCGAAATCCTGCTCTATAATAAGAACTTACTCTTAGCCAATATATTTATTGTTCTTTATATTGCACAGTCATTACCAAATAACTCAGTTTAGATTATTGTTAATAAGTTATTTAAAATAGCTTAGCTATATTAGCTATTTAAAACATAGCTTTTGGCAGCACAGTGCAAATTGTAAATGTACATTTTAATTTCTATCATCGAACGCTCATGTCGCTCAATGACTTATTTTCGTCTGGAAAGGGTATTATAAATATATTTTGTGTTCTGCAGAAGAAAGAAAGATATACAAGTTTGGAATGACATGATGGTGAGTAAATGATGACAGAATTATCTTCTTTTTTTTTGTTGTTGTGAAAATTAAATTTGATGGTAACCTGTTCAGTGTTACTCAAAGGCATAAGAGCAATGGGTGGTCCAGTTATGGCCCTTTAAGAGCCCTCTTATTTCCATCCACAGCTGTCCTCACCCCAGCCTGCTGTCCAGAATCCAGCCATCTACCAGCTGGCCTTCAGTGCCGCTAAAGCCTCTGGTTTTAGGGTATGTGACATCAAGGCATCGGAGCAAAGGCCTAATCACGTTAACATCCACAACCAGACGCTCCACTCATTTGACTAATCAAAGAGAACAGCTCGTTCAGAGAGAAGAGAGGCACTGTATGAGGTACTTCCTATCTCTTTTTCTTATCTGTTCATCCCTGTACAGCACCTATGCAGCATGCACTTAATGTGGCCTGGACTCACTCATTAGCTTCCACATGTTACCTGGAATGCTCTGTAGTGGGGGATGGTTTGCATGGCATATACTGATAGTTTTGTAAAGGCAATGGGGGAAAAAAAATACTGCATAGAAGTTTATTTTCTTAATAATTTTAATGCAACGGTTTTCCTCAAATTTTTTAAGTTCAATCAACTGATCACTTTTTACAGTCTATCTATCTATCTATCTATCTATCTATCTATCTATCTATCTATCTATCTATCTATCTATCTATCTATCTATCTATCTATCTATCTATCTATCTATCTATCTATCTATCTATCTATCTATCTATCTATCTATCTATCTATCTATCTATCTATCTATCTATCTACCTTCTGTCTGTCTATGATCTGTCTGTCTCAGTTAATTATGTTTGGAGTATGACAGATTTAATCTTATGATAATATAAAATAAATAAAAGCTATATTCATTTTCACATGCTAACATTCTTTGATTGGTGTACATGTGCAATTTGTTTATTTATTGTATTTTATTGTTTTATTCTACAGTATGTTTTGCTGAGATCAAATTGATACAGAAGCAATGTTACTATTGGATAACAAATGAAGTTTACATGTCTGAAAAGTACAAATCTGCTTTGTAGTTGCTTCAATATTATCAAAACTATAATTGTTTATTGTTGGTACTATTTTCAAATAAGGTGTACATTCTCAGAACTCTTCTACTAATATCACAACAGATCATCAAAAGTGCACCTTTTCCAAACATTTCAGCATGTTTTTAATCGTGTTGGTATAATACACAAAATAAGTGTTTCATCTATATAAATGTTTCATTCACAGTGCCTTTCATAAAGCTATCAAACTTTTAATTTGCATCTCTTCTTGTTCAGTTTAATACATTTGTCTATTATTTAATCCAACTGAACTTAATGGTCAATCAATTAATCATTTGGTACACCTATAGATTTTATAATAGATATTGATTCCATAGACAGTTTTCATAGAACTTGTTTGCATTTTCCGATATGGATAACCAAATGTAATTAATTTACATAAGTAATTTATAGATAATAACCACCAGAGAGAGAGAGAGAGAGAGAGAGAGATTTGCAATTTGTGAACAGACCAGGATATAGTACAGGGGAGAGAAAATGTATAGCATCAGATTGATAAGAGATGCATTGGTAGAAGGGAGACAGATGGCATCAAACAGCTTTTTACATTACATATGTATGCATGCTGTGATACTGTAAACAGTTTACCATGGTAAAGACTGCCACATTACTGTAACTCGCTAAATCTGTAAAGGTCAACTACAGTATAGATTCAGTATGGGACAGTGAGAACATTTACTGAAGCACAAAACCTCACGACAGTTTCATAACAGTTTCATAACTTCATCACACCCTTTGATAACACTGGATACTATTACAAACATTATGGATTTTATGTTACATAAATTAGATAATGTAAGTGTATTTTCTAATGTGGCATCTATAGCCTGTGTTGATAGAACTACACTTTACGTAAAAATACACACGTATTCTCATCACGTTGGTCTTTTAGCAGCAAGGGTGATTTGAAACGTATATTGCATTGTTTGCTATTAAATGATTTTTGATTGTTAAAAGTACTAAATTGAAAGAAGATCATACGGTTGTGTTTCGGTGATTAAACCAAATGTCCACATTACATATTACAATAATCTTGTGTTTGAAACAATGATTATGTGGACTGAAATGTGTACAATGAAAGCATGGCATCAGGTTTTAAAATAATGAGTTACAAGTGTGATCAGTTTAGATTTTTCGACTGAGAGTTTTGAAAATGTACACTTTACTTGTGAAAAAGTACCAAAGCGAATAAAAAAAAAAACCTGTAAGTCAGAGGAAAAAGAATATTAATGTTATATTAATATTATAAAGTAATTACAAAAATCTTTTTTTACACATTCAGAACTCAAAAAGAAAGAACATCAGTCAGTCTCAGTAAAACAATATTAAAAAATATATTATACCAATGGTAGCATATATATATATATATAATGGAATTCATATAAAACAATAAAGGGTATGATAAAAATAACTTTGCTTTATAATTCCGGTCAGTAGTTTTGCGGCGTGGACAGCATTCCAACATCAACACTTATCAGAAACTTTTCAGCAGGAGCCATTTCTGCACCGAGCAAAGATTGGTCCTGTCCTGGTGGTGAACGATGTCTATAATGTTAAGCACAACAAATGACAAAACCATCCAGACGCGCACATCAGCGCAGGGGTCAGGGAAGGTAAGGAAAAAGAGGCGCTCTATGACATATCTACTGTGGGAAACGGGCCGCAGAGATAACCAAGCTTTAGTGTTTCATCTCTGCTTCATCCCATACACATTATCACTGACCTTTCACCCTGCAATAAGAAAGGCTATGTAACCCAGAGAAACACACAGCCGTAAATCTCTTTATCCAGAGCTATAAAAGTGTAGGCATTCAAACGATGTGAATTGTGTAAAAACAAGGGATTTTATTTTTATTTGTATCTCTCTTATTTTATTAATATGTATTTATAATGTATCAGGCATAGTTTGCCTTTGTCCTGTAAAAAGTTATTTCCATGATTTGTCATCACAACTTTTTTTCCTTTGTCAAATCAACTTAGATAAAATTAATGTGTTTTTTAGATAACATAACATTTTGAGTCTCCTTCATTGTATTAACTAAAAAAAATGAGGTAACTTACCTTAAGTATATCGCTCTTTTTTTCTCTGTCCCTCTCGTTCTTGCCTGCTAAATGGAAAGACTACTGGAGACTGAAGAACACTTCATTAACCTTAGTGAGAATGGACACAGTTAAAACTGAGAAGACACGCAGCCAGGAAATCCCACATATCCGCTAGCATGCACACAGTGATAAAAAAAAATTTGATAGTTAGATTGTTTTAGTCTTTGGCCTAATGAGAAAGTTTTCCATGACAAATTATCCCACAGTGAGACGGTGGCTTCTGTTAATTAGTACACAATTATAGCATGAAATATATTCAGAATTGACTCTTTACAGATTGTTCACATCTTCATTGCATGTCTCAAATGACAATAAATACAAAATCATAGGCCATTGAGATTATATGGGATATTTATCCAACTCCTGCTTGTATTTACTTATTTAAAAAAAAAAAAATACTATGTTTTATAATACACATTCATGTTTTTATATTGTAAATATAAAGCATAAAAAACAGGAATTAAAAATGGCACTTTATTTCAAGAAATATACTGGTTCACCTAAATATGAAAATTCTGTCATTTATTCACCCTCATGCCATTCCAAACCTGAATGCCGAGTAGGATGCCGTAGCATGCCGTTCTTTCTTCTCTGGAACACAAAAGTAGATATTTTGAAGAATGTTGCAACCAAACAGTTTTGGTCACCATAGACCTTAACAACAAGAATTAAATGAGGCTGCAAGGATAGAAGTACAGTGGGGTAAATGGACTTTACTCAACATACTGAATATTTAGCTGACAAAACGTCTTTCCGAGAAAAAAAAAAAAATTTAAACAGTTTTACATAAATTACGTTATCTAGGACCTTTATACAAGTGCTTGCCTTTGCAGAGACTGCAAGTCTATCTCTCACAGCCTCGTTTTCTTTTGTGTTAAATTCAATATGCATTGATGCATTGAACATCCATCATTAAGGTCCAAGGTCTATTGATTTCCATTATGTTCCACAGAAAAAAAAGAAAGTAATTCTGATCTACATTAAGGTGAGTAAATTATGACAGAATATTTATTTTTAGGTGAACTATCCCTTTAAATGCAAACATTATTTAAGCTTGGGACATAAACTAACACACAAAACATATACTTTATTATTGCAAAGGCAGGTAAAAATGCCCTGGCCTAACTCGTTCAAATGCTTGGATGGGTTTTATTTCAGCTAATGAGGTGTGAAGCCTTACCCTGAGTGTGTGTGTGTGTGGTGCTGCCCATAAACCAAAAGTGAGAAACAGCTTGTTTGGTAGGAATTAGGGGGTTACATTTTCCTTTGACCACTCACTGCCATGTCTTCTAATGTAAAACTATGCAGAGTGAATTTGACACACTAATGGTTTTTCAAGTCAGTTTTGTGTTACAGTAAGACCATCAAAACAAATTGTAATGCAATTTTAATTTTGTTTATCAAGTAGACGAAATGGTTTCGTAACCATCAGCTTGTTTTCCAAAGCTTCTCGTTAATGTGTCTATTTTAACCCTCTGATGGTCTTCAAAAAAAAGTCACACTCGTGGTCTTCGGGGTCTATTGGACCCCAGACAACAACATTTAATTTTGTAACCGAACAATATATTTTTTTTTAACAAATATAATTTTACTCTGTTTATTAATGTTTTTACTCAACATTTGTGCACTTTTTGGAGAATTTATGATTTTTTTTTAAATTTCTATAAATAAATAAATAAATATTTAATTAAATAGGATTTATACAAAAAAACAGCATTTTATGTTAAATAAACTTTATAAAAGACCCAGATTTCTAACTTTCATTCCTGGGGATACCATGGATAATTTTACAAGGTTTAATGTAAGATTTTTGCCCATTTTTTGGAAAATACAGGTTAAAATTTGTAATAAATCACTTTAACCACTAGATGGCTATAGAGCTCCATTATATGCTATTTGCTATTTGAATTACTGAAAGATATAGTTTCTAAAGTTGGATTCAGTTGGATTCATATCTAAATATTATAAAATCGCAATTATATCAAAAATAAAATAATTTTTGTCAAAATTTAGCATTTTTTGTACTGAAAAAACACTATGCATGGTAAACCGCATGACTTCTGCAGACAGGGTTGGAGCAGGTTTGGCACTTCACTGTTGTTGTTGTTGTTGTGTGTGTGTGTGTGTGTACATTTTATTTTTATTTTTATGTGTACAGTGTCACCAATTTATTTTTGTGGTGGTTCTTCATTTTGTATGATTTTATTTGACAAATTATAAGACTTTTTATAGCCTTACAAATGTATTCCTGTGTGTGTGTGTTTGTGTGTCTGTGTGTGTGTGTGTGTGTGTGTGTGTGTGTGTATGTGTGTGTGCGCACATTTTCAATGCGTCTAAGTGTTACCAATTTATTTTTCTGGTGGTTCTGCATTTTAGATTATTTTATTTTACAAATGATAAGAGAACAGTTTTTATAGTCTGTATGTATTCCTGTATAAATGTATTCCTCTTTATGTGTGTGTTTGTGTGTGTGTGTGCGCCTGTGGTGAGCATGATAATTTTGGATTGTGGATGTTTTTTGCATTGTTGGAAGTGTGCCACTTTATTTCTGTCATTTCTGTCTATGTGTTCTACGTTGTTTCTGATTTTGATGATGTTATTTTGTCTATTTTGATTGCGGGGTCCAATAGACCCCGAAGACCACGAGTGTGACTATTTTTGTCACGCCAACATAAAAACAGATATCATAAATTTTTTTTTTTTTTTTTTTTGTAGATCTAGAAAGTGTTGAGAGCCGTAGAAAGTTTTAAACCATTTGGACAAAGAGAACATTTTTTTTAATTTAAGCAAAAGTCATTTGGGGTCCAATAGACCCCGAAGACCATCAGAGGGTTAAGAAGGTATCGTTCTCAGTGGTTGATTGGTTGCCTGGGCCTCTCTTATTGTCATCTCATTCCTGTCTGTGTCTCGCAGACATGGGGCCCCGGCCCCTTTGCAATGTAGCCATTAACTAAGGTCATTACAGAGAGAGGCTTTGTCATTAAGACCACATGGTTCTCCTTGAGTCATGCTAATGACTTTTTGCATTTTTGATTCAATTTATCGTTTTATCCTGTGATTTCTTCATGGGTTTAGACAAATCTGAAGTTATCAAAGTATCACCTTCAAGTGTCGAGGTGTCGGGGTCAATGCCATCCTCTCTTTTAACCGCCCTTTGAATAAGACATGGCTATTGTTCTGTATTGACAGCACATACTTGGACCTGTCAGTCAACGTGTCACAAAGTGCGTATTGACGAACACAGAGGTTGCGTTATCGCTGAGAGTAATAAATCCGATGCCGTTTTAATGCGGTGCATTTCAAGTATTTTTACAGCTTTGTAATCGGTGTGATAGAAACCGCCAGAGCTGTTATGACATGGGAAAGTTGCCTTACCACCCAGGTGCTAACACCCCTTTGAGCAGCTCTGCTTAGCATTGGCGTCTCCTCCAAAGCTTTCAACAGTGCTGTTACTTTACAGACTCGCAAAGACCTCTGGGAGATGTAGTCCTGCAGAGTTTCGGAAACCCAATGGATGCGGATTTGCTTCTTTCATGTGAACTGAAGAATCCGTCTTGCCTAAAATGTTGCTGTTGTGTTCAGAGTTTAGCCTTAAGCACAATCACAGGCTGAAAAACACAACAGATCCCTTACGCTCATTGTAGCCGAGCTGGTAAATGCAAGACGCCATCTGTTTTTTTTCAGTGAAAGCCAAAAGTAACCCAAGGGGATGGGCGAAGTCTGTGATTGGGTCGGCACCCTGTTGCTTCAGAGGCCTGGTCTCTGTATCAAACGACGCCATGCTGGAGGAAAGACCCCATGGCACAGGGGATACTGTTATAGAGGCAGTGACCTGGATGTGTGTCAGTAGGGAGTGTGGTTTATCTCCTCTCTATTTGTCATTTGTTCTTTTCCTTTTTCTATCACTCCTCCCCCATTTCAAAAGGGCAGTTTAGTTTCCCTTCTCTGCTCCTTCTTGTTTCCCCTCTGTTTTTCCATGAAATCACTCGTCTGTCACCAGATCCTAGCCATCGTACACAATTCAATTGTCTCTGCGGACGTCGCACAATGAGTTCCTTGTCCTCTTTGATACTTTTGTCTGGAATGAGGCCCGAAACAAAAGCTGCGGTGCTTTTAAGCACGTTTTAGCCTGAGCTTGTTTTATTTCTGAATTGAAAGTTGACCCAAGTCTCATTCATATAGCACCATAAAAAGGACTCATGGACTCCCGGATTTACAACTCACGGTGTTTCCCCAAGGCCTTTGAGGCCATAGTATACCTGACTCAACTGATTCCCCCTCCCGCCACCAACAAAATATTGAACCCAATGCATTCTAAGCCACTAGGCGGTCAAGGCCCATAAAAGCCTAACAGTCTATGCTGTGGCTGTTGGTGGTCTGTCTTGTTCTTTGGCCTTTAGATGGCAGAAGGGGCCTTTTTGTCTGTCTGTGTGTAAGTGTGTGTGTGTGTGTGTGTGTGTGTAAGTACGTCTTTTGCAGGGACGTCTGAGAGAGAAAAACATCAAAAGGCAACATAATCCAGGTACAGGGCTTCACTTTTAACTTTTCAGCAGCTAGTGTCTGAAGCAGCTATAAAACTGTGGCCAATGGGACGAGAAACGTGATTGATGCTGAGCACAGCTTAATTGCTAAGAGATTTAGCTGCCTGTTCATAATATACTGAAAATATAGAGGCTTTGGGCAGAACCTTCATTCAGAGTTGTATTTCCATAACTCAGCTCATTCACACACATTGGTGTTCTGAACCGGCCACGCATATATTTAAGGTATAGTTTATGTTCTGAAAATAAAGAATGTTTAGTTTAGCATTTAACGTGTTGCTGTCACTGTAAAAAAAAGTACTGTTGGTTTAACTAAAAAAAAGTAAGTTACCTGGTTGCGTTCACTGAGATTATACAATTAATGAGATTGGTTTAATAAATAGAAATATTCAAAATAGTATGTTATCCGAACCACATTAATTATATCCAAGTTAATTTGACAAAAGAAAAAAAAAGTTGTAGGTCATGAAAATATTTTTTTTACAGTGTTGCTTGCAGCTAATTTCCTTTTTGTATTTTTATTAATGTTTCATTTAATGTTTTATTACATGTATACATTGTACATTTCAAAGAGGCGGGGGAATGCAGCTGGGTAGACTTCATGTGGCCACCTGGGTTCTTCTCAAGTCTAACCCACTTCCAGAGCACCCTTAGAGGTGAGTGAGAGGGGATTGGGATAACTTTTCCTGTAAGTATGCAAGTCTTGTTGGAAAACATAGAGGGAACGGTGGGGGGTGGGGGGTGAGGGGCTGAAGGAGTAGGCTACACTTCGGAGATTTCTCAGGCACTGTCATAATCTTTATTGCATGATGTGATAGAAAATAAATGTCTCTGGATCATTGAGGTTGACGTGCCAGGGGAGCAGCTTACAGTTTAAGGGTATATGACTGCATAACATCTAGTTTTATTTTTCTCTTTCAGTGTCATTCACATGCAAGCGGGTTTATGGTGACCTGGTTTTATTTTGATCCAGCCTAGAGGGATGTTGAAGACAGGCACTTGAAATCCTTCCACTAAACCACATGGTTGAAGGGGGTTTTATCTCCACCTAGCGGTTTAATGGTCTTAATGCTACAGGTGAATGCTTTGCAGTGAAACTTTTGTTATCTAATTCGTCAGTGGTGCATGCGCTTGAAATGCATCTAGCTGCAAATTCCGAAGCAATATTAACTAACCCAATACTGAAAGGAAAGTGGAAAAAAGAGAAAACGAAACACATTTTTATCCTAATTTTTTTATTCATAAAATGTGTGCAAGGGGATAAACGGCTCGATTTTTTGTAAGTAGGCTAATTAAAGTTTGCTTATAAAGGAAATGCAGAGTTTCTACCACGGAAGTTACAAACGGAACACTAAGCAATGCAGTAGCCTATAAACATGTATGTTATTTTTAATTATCCTTATCAAGGGTCAACAAGTAAATGCTATTTTCTGTGTTTCTTCGGGAATTTTTTTCCTAAGCATAATGACTGGATATTAATAATTTAAATACATTCAAATAAAACAAAACAGTAATAGTTTACTGCAACAGTAAGATAAAGACCATACAAAATGACACAAAATTATCACAAACATACCACCATTATTTTTTAATAACAAACTGTTGCAAAAAACAAAGTGGTGAAATAAAAACAAATGTGCTGTCAGTGCAGTAGCATATTTTACAAATAGTTCAGCACATATCCACAATTATGAATACCGCTCTAAATAACATATCCCTTTCCAAGACATGGAATCATGGATTAATTGTTTTTTGAATATTTTTTTCTTTCACGAATTTACGGACTTTACAAAACCTATAACCGTAAAGGGCATGGATGTAGTCATTTCCACTAATGTCCCGCTCGCCCTGATGGGGGGATATTATGCCCAGCCAATATATTTGAATTTACCCTGGTTTTGATCTTTAAGAAAATTGAACGCGCATACATATATTACACACATTCATGAAAACAATGAAAATATGATTAAATCCATTTAGGCTTAATTAATGTAATTTGAAAGAAAGAAAGAAAGAAAGAAAGAAAGAAAGAAAGAAAGAAAGAAAGAAAGAAAGAAAGAAAGAAAGAAAGAAAGAAAGAAAGAAAGAGCGTTTATAATCTCTTGGATATTGGATATCCACTTATTATATTTTTGTTCATATTAATAAACATTTATTTCTCCTGCTTATCTATATTTTACAATGTTAGCATTTTATATGGTAAAACCTTTTTAATAATAATAATATAGGCCTATATAGTTATTTGTTTTTAAGCATTCAAAACACACTTTTCTTTCAAGCCTATTTAAATATGCTATAATATTATCTCATTTAATTGGCAGTCTGTGGCATCATCGGCGATTACGTGAAGATCTTGTAGCCTACTCTTCATCTTTGGTGATAAATGTTTTAGACAAGCCACTCTTGACATTCTTACTCAATATCCTCGATGAAGTCATAAGAGAGAGCGCTGGAGCTGCAGCAGGACCTGTTCTTTCTCAATGCACAATGATGGATACCCACAAACTTCTTCATTTCACATTGCGTCCCAAATATAGATTTACAGGTGTACACAATAGGGCAAATGTAATCAGTTCGCGTTTGCCGAAAATTACTGGCAGTTAATTCACCTCAAAAATGTATGTGTAAACAATTTATGACGTATGATAAATTGAATAATAAACGAAAGTCATAGCGACTTCGTATGATAGAGACTTAATTATTTTGCGAAATTTCTTTAGGATACTTTTCGCGTTGTAATTAATTATATATATTTTTAGGCATTTTATGTAGACTATGAACCAAATATGAGCGCACGAAGCTAGGCTACCTGCTTGACACATTCTATTTAATTTCTTTTTCATATTTTTTTGTCAAATGACAAATTTGTCTGTCTAATAAGTACCAGATAACATGATTATTACCAGGCTATATTTATTTTGAATAGGACGACAGTAATCGCGATCAAACGTGAAAGAGAAATGGCTTCAAGAGCCATGTGTCGTTATTGGCGCTCTGTCCTCTGAAGTCATTATGAATGTGCTTTCCGTGTATTATGCACGCACACACCTCTAAGTTTTATTAACTTGGTTTCTTATTTTACAACGTAATAATGTGTGAAAATAGGGAGGGTTCATAGTCAATTAAGACTTGAAGCAAATCTCCACAGTGTTTCACACTGAAAAAGAAAACTCTGATGAAGCTATAGCCTAATAATAATAATAATAATAATATAGTAATTATAATTATAATAATAATGCAGTCCAACAATCACAATTCACCTAAAATCAACGACATCGACAACCTTACATGAAACTGCCAAATTGAAATCCGTGCGCTGATTTTAGCAGACGAGATAAGCATATTTATGATCATCAGCTGATAAGAAAATTGGTTAGGCTATGAAATTAAATCCTTATTATAAGTACAAAGTTAAAGACTGAGATTGAGCAGATAAAATAGCAAACAATTATTGCATTAGTAGGCTAGTAGCCTAGGCATGTGCGCAAAAATAAATAAATAAATAAATATCTAACAACAGCAACAAACATGCAATTACAGTATCAAATAGTACGGCTGCGTACAACAATAGCTGTGCCGGTTATCCAAACAGTGGACTTGCGAATGTAGTGTGTTCTCCAGCAGTGCTGCCACCAGAGATCAAACAGTTTGACACTGGCGCAATGAGCGCAGCTTATGAAGGGGGTCCGAGTGCTGTGTTGGGTGCTGGCTGGGGAAATGTTATGATCTTGTAATTACGGGTCTTGGACAGATGCATTATCCAGGCTCAGCGTTGGAGCCACTGGATATTATTGTAGCCAGAGAGCCGGAGGGCCAGACACCTACCTACGCGGAGAGGGGCTGACCCCGCTGGCCCTACGGCTCCCGCGCCATATTGCACATTTAAGCACCAGGGTTTTCCAAGTTCACCGGCGTTGTTGATTAACAGGCCAGCATTGAGGGGAGATGAATTCTGCATTCTCCAAACGAGTTCCCAACAATCCACACGCGGTGAGGTCATGCTGATTAGGGCGTGGGTTACTGGGACTGGTACCTAACTTCTTTCTTTCTTTCTTTCTTTCTTTCTTTCTTTCTTTCTTTCTTTCTTTCTTTCTTTCTTTCTTTCTTTCTTTCTTTCTTTCTTTCTTTCTTTCTTTCTTTCTTTCTTTCTTTCTTTTCATTAATTCATTAATTCATTCATTCATTCATTCAGAAGTATATTGCTTGACAAAAAGTTGCTTGAGTTCATCATTGCAAACTATGGTGTTGTCCGGTTTACATGAGATTGACTAACTGCATTTAAGTTTATTTCGTTGCCCATAATAGGGAGACCTGAGAGTGTGTTTTTTAATCAGAATTTAGAAATCTACATTTCCCTAAACGTCAGATGTAATCTGCCCCAATATTGAATTGTAACATCAATCATGAACATATGTTTTTAAGTTTGTACGAGTGTCTCCTGTTAATTAAATAGCTACGTAAAACTAATACTGTCATTCCACAGCAGTTAATGTTTTACAATATGCTGATGAAAAGCTTATATAAGACTAATTATATATAAATGTATATGGCTACCAAATTATTTAAGAGAACACACTGATTTAGATGATAGCCTATATGGCATATGAGTCATTTAAACTTAAATCACATTAAACTGACTTAAAACGAATTGTTGACTCTATAACTTATAAAAGAGTTGAACATTTCTTAACTTATTTTGATGAGATAAAGCAATGTAAAAACATGTTGTCATAACCTAATGATGTCTTTTTATTTACAGTGTATAGGAGGGTCCTCTCATAATGCTAAGAGAATGTGAATTCATTTTGTGAAGATAAATATTTTTAATCACTCACCCTCCTTATAATGGACTGTACGGTATTCCTTGACAATTCCGTGCAAATCCACAAAACAACGCGCAGCGGTTCAGTTGCAGTGGTTGGCAATAGGCCTATACCTGTAGCCTATAAGATGACATGCTCTACATGAATGTCTTCCATCGGCTCTGCGGTACTGGAACAACTCTTTTCTTAATCCCACAAGTGTCAGACACCCGCAAACGTCAAGCGTCCTGTATGGCATGATGTGACAGTGGACAGCCCCTGTCAAAGAGATACGGCCTCGTGCATAAACAATCCATAAAACAAACCTCTGCGATAATATTTAAGATGGGTTCCAATAACTCAACGTGCTTGTGAAGGCCGTCTGTACGTGTCTCACATGAAAAGCTCACCTCAGACAGGTAAAGAAACAGCTCTCAGGTCCAGGAGCGTTTGATGGTCTTCGACTGGTTTCCAGCACAAACTCACAGCTGTGGCACACCTGTGGCGTTCTGTGAAGGCCGTTTATAGTGTGAATGACAGAAGATTCTATCTGCGCATCACGGACCTGAGACAGGCAACATGCTCAGCTCATTTGGGAAGCTCATATCCAACTCCACTGTTATCTTAGATCTGATCTTATGATGTGCGCTCATAATTAGAAAACTTTTGATCAAAGGAACATGTTACTCTTCTGAGAAACAATCCTACCCTTTGATAGTGCCTTTATAAAAAGTTGAATCAAGCATAGCTAGTCTTTAGGTCTGTCAAAAAAAGTACTACTCGTTTTCATCATTAAAAAGCGATCAATTTAAAAACTGCGCAGTTTTAGGATTGACTACATTGATCGGGTTGCATATAAGCTGCATGGGCATGGCTATATGAAATAATATATAGCCAGCCGAATCAATATATTATAATATAATAATGATATTATAGACTTTTATTTATTTATCTGGATACCTATTGAACTTATTTGATTTTAAAGGTCTATGAGGGATAGATGCAGAGTCTGTTTAATAGCCTATATGGTTCATTTAATGCGGTAACATTGCAAAGGAAATGCTGCTGTTGCAGGCGCGTCCATCATCAGCACCACAGTTGATTGCACACTGGCCTAAATTCCTGCATCCAAATGAGCATTACCAACACGAGGTAAGGCATTTTAATAAGCTAAATTAGGGCAGGCCTGTATTAAATCCTTCAGGATTTTTAGAAGCGTCACCGTGCTGGGTAAAAAACAAAAAACAAAAAAAAAAACATAAGCGAGCCTATATGCTGGTTTTATCTAGTTTAAACTGGTCTCACAGCATAACCAAACATGGTTAAATTAGCCAAACAGCCTAGGCTGATGTTCAAAAGTCGTATATGCTCAGGTCTCCCAGTCTGACGAGTTTACAAGTGCCCCAAACCTTTGTTAAACCAGCCTGGCCATGTTGGGAGACCAGCAAACCAGACTGCATTTCAGCACAGAAAAAGTAATTCATCGCATTGTCTCAACGATGACACATGACCAAGGAAGCCAATCAACCCAAATAATCACTCACTAAGAAATTCCTGATTATTTAGTACAGAAACCTATTGCGTTTAAGGAGGTGGTCGGGTGATGGGGGGTGGTTTGCAGGAAACAATTATAGAAACAGGGGCAGTCCCGTCCTCAAGCATAGAGTCTGGGTTATACCCGCATTATAAAGGAAGACACCTAGAGGACCAGCCTAAACAACCTGCCGTCATCAGCTATACCTCCACATCCATAGGCTATTTGTATTATTTACGTAGGATTATTTCAAAACTCACATCGCCTATGACTAGTGCGAGATCATAAAGACTGCATTTGACTTTTGAAATCAAATTAATTTAGCCTATTCGAAACAAATTTCGACGATATCCAGGGTAAACCAGGGCTTAAAACCGAAAAAAGCAGACACGCTTATTAATGACCCTGTCTCCATTGGATCTGCATCAATGGCCCCTGTCTTTCAACACAGAAAATGTCAAATTGATCGACTTCAAAGACAGCAGAAGTAGCCTACGTCGAACTCGCCTTTTCCAGGGACCAAACAATAAACTTTAATATTAAACTAAAACCAAAAAAATCCACTTACTCAAGACATCTATAAAAGCGGGGACCTTTGGTTAGGCAGTTGTGGTTTTTTTTTTTTTTTTGAGCATCATGACGTTTGGCATCTGCTTGGCATTCATGTCGACGAACGATTTGCGTGAGAATAACAGTGTTAAAATACTCTGCACAGAAGAAGCATAGCCTATCCACAATAATATTGAGAGAACATTCGTGATAGCCTATATATATATATATATATATATATATATATATATATATATATATATATATATATATATATATATATTATGATGTTATTTTTTTTTACAAGGCTATTCCATATCTCCGTGAACAGAGAAGTGTCAAAATCACAAGGTCTTTGTATTTTCTCTGGGGTGTCAGGTAGACCAGACGCAATTTCAGGCGTCAGAGAGGCTCGCGCTGTTGTTGAGTCAGTTGTATTGATGAAATGCAGTCATAGCGAAGGCAAGGACTTCATCAATCATGCCAAATTATAGCCAAAACTCTGCCATTAGACCTGAGAAGCATAACGTCACCTCAGATAAACAACATTTTAACTACATGCCTTTGATAAATCCATGGACAAAACAGAAAAAAGTATGGCCCTGCTGCTTTGTCTACTTGCAAAAATAACATGCATTTTGATTGAATAAAACTTGTATTGTTTTCACCACTGAACTGGTTGAAGACATATTAGAGGTTGAGCAAAGTAATAAAATGAATCATATGTAGGCTAGTTTATTTTATTATAGAAGTAGGGAAAACCGAGGCCAGCCCAGTTGTCACACTTTTTACACAAATTTGTTATAGTATTATTTTTAATGATAATTTATGGGCGCAAATTAGGTCTACCTAAAAGTTTTGGCTACAAAAACAGCTAGGCCTTCTGCTATTTGTTGTTCTCCAAGTAACTGCATAAATGTATAACTTTTAAAACACAACAACTCGCCCCAACTAGACAGCGCAGAATCTTCAGTTAGCTAAATACCTTCATTATTGCTTCTTGCCTAAATGTTTGTGTGTTTATATAGCCTATTGAAAGTTTAATTTGGAGGATACATATCACAACAATTTTTCTTTATATTTAGTGAGTTGCAAACTTTTGTTTGTGATAACTAGCCCCAGTTTACTGCATAATAATCCTCATACGATCAGTTACATGTATTCAATTTCAAGCAGAAATTTGTAAGCTACTTCGATTTAAAAGTGGTCTCATTAAATCTTTTCATTTGCCCGCCACACATGAACTGGAAAACGATCATTCTTGCGATGTCTTTCTCATGCAGAATAATTTAAAAAGCATTAAAGTCTTTGAAAAAAAGGTCTTTCTTTTGTCAGATCCAAATGTTTGCTTTTTCTAATTTCCAGGAAGAAATAATCTCATATTACTTTGAAATAGCTTGTTTTAATAAAGGTTGTCGCACAATTTATGTAAATTCCAATTTCCCCCAAAATCATTAATCAATTAATGCAATTTCAAAATACGTTTTTTTGGGGGTTTTTTTTGCAATCAAAGAAAATGTCCTATTTAAACAAATGCATTGCTTTTGAACTGCTAAGGAGTGGACACACATGCACACGTGACTATGCTAACAGTGACTTTCAAAGTTTTATTTTTTTAATACAATCTATAAGTGCGTTAGTCCAGTGTTATCGTTCTGAAATCTATACTAAACAAATTCATTCTGCTATTTAACTAAGCAGATTTCTTCAAATAGAATTGCATTTTCTGGATAAATACCAAAAGAATGCTGAGCACATAGTGAAAAGAAATAGAAAAAAAAAACAACAACAAAAAAAACAGGGACAGACTAGCTGTAATCTGTTATTAAAATTACAGTTAATTCAGCACTGGATAACAATGGTCAGAATTATGTAGGATTGTGACATGGTAAATATTAAAAAAAAAAAAAGTGCAAACCAGAATGAACTCTTTTAATTGAGGGACAACAAACAACTCTTAGTTAAAATACTCCAAAATAAATTTTAATGTTTATAAATCTCTATACTTATATATATACATTATGTGCAAATAAAATGTTCAACATTAAATTAAACTATGCAGAGCGTGTGAATAATAGTATCATTCCTTATTATTGTGTATATGTTGTTTAGTATTTAATCCTCTCTATTGGCACCCAATTGTAGAAAATCTAAATAAAAGACACATCTGAAAAAAAAAAAAAAAAAAAAAAAACACATTTATGAACAGAGCAAATACTTAACCAAAAGACAAGATGTCCAATTAATTTTTTAGAAAAGTTCCTCTTGAGTACTCAGATGTTCAGATGATACATAATGATAGCTGATTTCATCTTGTATATGAATTATTTGCATGTATATAATTTATACAGGATTGGGAAACGGTCTAACAGAATGTCTACATGCAAAAAAAAAAAAAAAAAAAAAAATTTGAAAGGAAGATGACCAAAAAAAGGTACCAAACCTACGTGATAAAAATTCAGTGCATACAATGTCACACAGGGTTTTACTCTTCTCAAGGAAGATGAGACATATGTGACAAACACAAAGCCTCCTAAAACACGAAAGCGCACACAGGGTTAAAATAAAATGCTTTTGTTCATTTTCAAGTTCTGCTATTTTAGCCTGTCAATCCTTTGATATCACAGTGACTAGATTGAGTGTCTTAGACTTGCCTGAATTTTGTAGATATGGCAAAAAAAGCTGACATTCATTTGATATAGTGAGAGGTTTTCAAATTAGAATGAGGAAGAAAATAGATGTCGTTGTAAATATGACGCAAGCCCCATTAAGTCTACATTCAGCTTTAACTGACTTCATCTTCATGTAGCTACATAGTTTTGCATGTTTAAGCGGTTTCTTGAAGGTAAACCTTGTCGCTACCATTGCTAGCCTGCTAACAACTGACTTGCTTCACTGATTCTTCACATTGTGGCCGTCCTCCACGTCTGTAATGCAGCACATCATATCTAGAGCTCATAGGACTTCATTTTAAAATGAGTTCTGACAGTGAATCTTCCAGCTTCAAGTGGAATCCTTCCTAGTGCACTGCAAATGCTTTACGTGCCAGCTCTCTCTGACGTGTCAAGCGCTGTAGTGCCTAGGCCGCCACGTGACCGATCAGATAGATGTTGTCATAGAGGTGGCCTACAAAGTCCTCGCTGATGTTCTGAGCAGCCCGCCGTGTGTTTCGGATAAACTCCCTTTTGGACATCTTGTTCTTTACGTGAGGGCTGGTCAGATCGATGGAGAGAAGGATGAGGGAGTAGCACAGCACGTACACAGCATCTGCAAAACCGAGAGAGAGAGAGAGAGAGAGAGAGAGAGAGAGAGAGAGAGAGAGAGAGAGAGAGAGAGAGAGAGAGAGAGAGAGAGAGAGAGAGAGAGAGAGAGAGAGAGAGAGAGAGAGAATGTAAAAATGTTTGCATTATGTAGAAACAGTAATTATATTTCACAATATTACATTTTAACATAACTGGTTTTTGTTTGAATATATTAAAAAATTTAATTTAGTCCTGTGATCGCAAAGCTGAATTTTCAGCATCATTACTCCAGTCATTAGTGTTACATGATTCTTCAGAAATCATTCTATTATGCTGATTTGGTGCTCAATTAGTATCAATTATTATTGGTGCTGAATTATTAATAATGGTTCATATTATTATCAATATTGAAAACTGTTTTTGCTGCTTTATATTTTATTAATATTTTTGTGGAAACTGTGATACATTTTTGTATCTTTGTGATACAAAGATTCTTTGATGAATAGAAAAAAAACCAGCATCTATTTGAAATAGATTTGACACTGGCACTTGAATCAATTTAATTTATTTGTTAAATTAAAATATGAATTATATATATATATAAAATTATTACTTCAATTTATTTATATATATATATATATATATATATTTAAAAATAAATTAATTGCCCCAAACTTTTAAATGGTTCACTGTTTCCACAAAATATTAAGCAGCACAACTGTTTTCATTATTAATAATAAGAAATGCTTATTTTTTCTTTTGCAACAAATCAGCATATTAGAATGATTTCTAAAGGATCATTACTCATGATTTATCAAGGTTATCATGTCACTGAAGACTACAGTAATGAAAATTCAGATTTGCCATTACAGGAATACATAATATTTTATAATATTTTCAAATGCAAAACAGTAATTTTTGTAAGAATATTTTACAATATTTCTGTTTTTACTGCTTATTTTTATCAAATGATTTCTATGTGTTATATAAATTATTCTAAGTAATTAACTAATTAGTCCAAACCTTTGACTGCCAATATACACATGTATGTTGAAATGGAAACAATGTGAGAGGAGCACAACTCGGCTCGAACTCGGTCAGTAATTTATAATAAATCTTCCTGCTTGTACGTGCTACTGTATATACATGCACTACAAGTCACATGTTATTGCAGGCGGTAACTCTGATTGGTTGGACTCAACACAGGGCCCTATTCTGCTAACACTTTAAGCCAGCGGGCTTAGCTCGGCTTTAGAAGCAAACGTCAGTGTTAGTACAAGGATTTCTCACATGTTGCTCTATACAAAGACAAGATCATGCAGATCTGCAGTTAATAAAAGATGGTCGATTCAAATCAATACACGACAATAATCCTGCAAGTTGTGATTTGCATGTACCACAATTAGAACCAGTACTTCAACTTTAATTGTTGCCTATATGGCAAAAATCTGTGAACGTCAATTGTGACGTGCTGTACATGTCTGACACTGAGCAAAGCAAACCACCGTGATCTTGATGTCGCAATTACACATTAGATCACATCGTAGTATAAGTGCCGTTCTGGCATCTGTAATGACTGTGCTGCAGTTCACTTACCAGGACTTAAGCCCACTTCCCGGACCAAAGTGGGGTTGCAGGCACAGAAACGATGAGAAAACTTAGTGATGAGGGTCTCCAGGTACTCGCCCCGCTCCTCCGGGGCATGAATGTGTCTGAAGAAGTCCCTCAGTGCATTAGGGAGGAACTGGTTACTAAAATTATGAAGTGTGACCAACTCATCCAGGACATCTCGCCTGCAATCACGGGAAACTTAATCAACATTTTAGTTATTATCAGTAGCAGAATTTTATATAAATTGAGGTATGCATGCATGTATACACACACACACACAGACGCACGCACATGTGTGTGTGTGTGTCAATGTGTGTATATATATATATATATATATATATATATATATACAGTGCTTGGTATAATGATATAATAATAAAAGGGAATGAAAAAATGAGGAAACAAACCGTTCATCAAGATAATTCCGCAGCATCTTCCAGTTGAGCATTCTGGTATAGAATATAAACTTGGCAATTTCCTTCGGGTGGTCCAAAAGAATACCTCTGAACATGAAGTAACTGATACCCTGAATGAAAGAACCCACAAAAAACAGGGTGTGGGGATTAGGGGAAAAACTGAAGGAGGGGGCGAGCTTTTTTGCCAGACACCGCGTTTAGTCCGGAGCAAGGCTATCGCATGTCCTTTAAGTGGACAGCTAAAGCTTTGCTAATCTAACCTAAGACACGAGCGAGGGGGAGTCAAGACATTCAAATGCATCTTTGAACAGAAATTATGTTTTAAGAGCAGCTTGCATGAGAGAAAAGCCATTCATTTCGTTTTAATCCGGGTTGTGGTCTAAAAGCCTATGTCATGGACCATTATTCATTCTAGGTGAGCTTGTAAAAATAATTTATTTAGTCTGCAGTATGAGCATTGACGGTTATGTGGGAATTTACAGGGTGGAGGAGAAAACCGTCATATTAATCATAGCTGAGGTTGGTCAGAATTGTGTTTCCAAAGCACATTTCTCTGTTCTTTGCCCGTTTAAACATTAAATGGCTTGGCCTCTAATTACAGAGACATTATTGTGGCGAGACAGAACAAAAGTTTGTATTTTTTGTACCTCTTGCGGGTTGGCGTTGAAGGTTAAACTTCCTTCATCTAATTCCATATAGAGCTTTCTATAGGAAAATCCATATGGAAGCCTTCGATTGTATATGGAACAGTGACCCCAAGTGGACTTGCACAGGCTAGAGGGCAGACAAAGAAAAACAAAGCAGTTGAACAGGAGGAATTCTAAAATATAAAATAGGTAATATCCCTATTTTTATTTATTTCATAATATTAGGAGATCTAAGAGCTGAAATAATGAATACAGTTTAGTTTGCATCAAATCCATTGAAAGAAACATTATCCTCCCTTATACAGTTGTCCCTGAATTATTATTGAGAAAATACTGAGATGATATTTTATATGGAAGCTAAAAGCATCACTGACCCCTGCCACAGGTACTCATCATTGCCCAAGTCCTGCCACACACAGGAGGCCAGGCACAGGTCGGTAGCATTCAGGTAGGAGAGGATGGTGATGCTGAGTTCGGGCGGCAGCATCTCAAGATCGATGAAGCCCTGCTCCCCTTTGCCCCTGCGGACGCGCAGCAGGTGACTGATGTCGGAGCCGGCGACCTGGCACTGTGGCGTACGGCGCTGCTGCAGCGGTTCAGACAGTGGGGGACCCATCCTTCGGCCCTGCTCTCTCTCCTGCTGGAGGAAGCACTGTTCACTGTACTGCTGCTGCAGCTGCTGGTTCCTCACCACCCTCCACAGAACCTGACCCATCTGCAGATCTGACAAAAATATTTAAAAATGCATTTCATTGCAGCTTCATGCATTAAAATACTTGTATACAAGTTTGTGTAGCTTGAGAGAAAAAAAAAAATCCACTACACCAACTTTACACTACATGAAAAGCTAAATTTTTAGCAGCCATTGCTACAGTCTTCAATGTCACATGATCCGTCAGAAATCATTCTAATATTCTGATTTGGTGCACAAGAAGCACTTATTATTATCATGTTGAAAACAGTTTTGCTTATTTATATTTTCGTGGAAACCATGATACACTACAATTTTAAGTTTGGCGTAAGTAAGATAAAAAAAAAAGATATTAATACTTTTATTCGGCAAGGACACATTATATTGTTTGAAAGCGACAGTAAAAACATTTATAGTGTTACAAAATACTTCTATTTCAAATCAATTAACTTTTTAAACTTTCTATCCTGAAAGAAAATGCATCACTGTTTAAGCAGCAAAAACGGTTTTCAACACTGATAATGATAATAAGAAACGTTATTAATAATTGAGCACCAAATCAGCATATTATAATGATTTTTGAAGGATCATTTGACACTGAAGACTGGAGTAATAATGCTGAAAATTCAGCTTTGCCAGCACAGGAATAAATTGCATTTTAAAATATGTTTAAATAGAAAACAGTTATTTTAAATTGTAATCATATTTTTTCAATATTGCTATTTTTACTCTATTTTACATGACATAAATTCAGCCCTAGTTAGCATAAGAGACTTCTTAAGAAAAAAAAAACTTGATTATTTCAAACGTTTGATCAGTAGTGAAAATAAGTTTTTGTAAATCATATAATCTCGTATTGTATATATTTATTTATTAATAAAGGAAAGCGTTGTGCATTAAGCCTTTTATCTCTCTGCCTTCTGTTCCTACAAACTAAACCAGAGTAATCCAGAGGCCTCAAACTCTCAGCACATTATTTTTTTAGTTAGATCATTTCTGTTAGGTCCCCGAATCTTTGCATTATCCGACAGAGCAAAAAAGCCCAAAGGAAACTGTTTTTAGTGCTAGTGTGCAGTAGTCCGCTGGGAAATAAACCCTCTGATGGCAGCTTTATCTCCACTGCAGTAGCACTAATCCTCTCTCTGAGATATGCATTAAGCCTTTTTATGTGGCCCTGTCTGACTCCCTCCAAGGGCCTTTCTCTCTAAAACATATCTCAGTCTATGAGAAGCCTTGTTATTCTTGTCTTTAATGGCCTCTTGAATGCTCTCGGGTCACTTTCTTTGTCGCAGAGTCTCTATTACAGCTTTTTTTCATATAATCTTGACATATTACTTATTCGGGACTGACGCAATGCTCCTTGGCATTCTGTAGGAGGAGCTTGGGAATTCTTAGACCTGCTTAAAACATGGAACGGAAATCTGAACAAGGTCAATGAACTCTTACAAGCAATTTCCCTCTGCTTTGCCTAAGGGCAGAAGCTGTTCTTAAATCATTACAAAACATTTACCCTGATTAAAGTTATATAATGAACATCTTTTTTTTGTTTTTAAATGGTGGATTAGCTCATCTAACTCTTGTCTTTCTATTAAAAGTGAAAGTAAACAGGTCTGGCAACTCCATGCATGTTCTAATTGTGTTACTCTTGACAAAAAAAACTATTTACAGTAAACTGAGACAATACAAGCTGGAAAGAACAGCTATACAAGAATACCACAAAAGTACCATTTACAGGATCTAAAAATAAATTTTAGGTCAATTGAAAAGTACTTAAAACGTAGTTTAACCCTGACCTAATTTTTCTGCCTTTATTTGCATAGTATCAGTAGCCTTTCAGATTTCTGCCCGAACAAAGGAGAACTCATGTGACACATTCTAGAAGTAAAAAAAAAATTAGCACAATATCTGAGACTGTGAATTATATATATACAAAAATATATATTTAGTGTGCTTACTGACATACAAATCGAGGTTTTCTACAGTTTGTATTTTTTAAGCAATGGGTCCTCTATCATGTTTGGCTGAAGCACAAAGGCCCGCCTCGCTCTAAAACAATTGGTTGGAATACCAATTTGACACATACACTCGAACTCTGATTGGCTGTTGCGGAAAAACGCTTCTGTTTTTATTTTCGCAGCGTCAATCTAAGCAGCACCACCCACCTCTGTGTATATGAAATACTTCTACCGCCGCCGCGACGAAATGAGTTGCTAGTGATCTGCCAGTGTCTCACGGATGAAATCATCTCAGTCTTTTAACAAGAGCCCAGGACAGCCATCTTGACAGCTCCAACGCTGCTGATCGAGGTGAGACAGTCCTGTGACACTATCATTCATCAGTCCACTCGCTCCTCCTGTCTGTCTCTCCACCTCCTGGAACACTCTGGCCAGACTGACGTTTCTTGTTATTGGTGGAAGTGACGCATGTCGCTCAGAGTAAACTAATCACAGGTACATACAGTTGCACTTTCGATTGAAAAGTTTTCTGTCATGTTTGTACGGTAATATAACATAAAATAAAATACATACATAAAATGAATAAAGGAATGAAGTTAATACAAATACATACATTAATACATGCGTGAATGAATTAAAATACACGAGTAAATTAATAATTTCATGAAATTACATTAACAAATTTGTGTGTGCTTCTAAAACCCCAAAGAAGCAAGCTAAGACAAGAATGTGTAGAAGTGAAAAAAAGGATTGAACCGTCGTCTGGTGCATAGAAACCTGATAGAAACCAATAACAACAAACCCGGATATTTCAGCGGCAAAAACAAAAGGGAGGAATTAGCAATAACTGTTTAACTATAAAATACAACCATCGGTAAGACAGTTGTTATTGTATTACAAACCCAAATAAGTGCGACATTTTATCAACTAAGTTAATGCAAAAGATGTACTTTTTGAAATAACACGCCACGATCATTTTGTAACATTGTATGGTCTACGAATGGTAGCTAAATTGACATCGGAAACGTTATGTATTTATACTTTTAATGACATCCTCTGACATTACAGAGATGGGCACTGGTGATTTGAAAGGATGTCTGAGAAAGCTGGAAGCCTCTCTCCGTTCTCTAAAGTATCCGAGAGAAGTGGACTATCAAAGGTATGACGAATTTTAAACCAATAGCTGCTAGTTCACACACACACACACACACACACACACACACACACACACACACACACACACACACACACACACACACACACACATATATATATATATAAATGCAAGACTGGTTTAAAGTAACATGAATAAAATTCATGTTTAAAAGAAAAATCATTAATAGAATTCAGTTACCAAATTATTCTGCACATATACAGGTGTTCAGGTGACCATTCTACAATAAATAATTTCCTAATTAATTTACATGACGCTGATCATGCCTGTGTAAATATAAGACTGGCAAGGAAAAAAAAAATCTAAATGCACTATGGCAGAGTGAGCATTTTATAAATCTCCATTCTTGTACTGGATGCATGTTAGCACTTTATAAAATAAGATTCGTGTTTATACTCTATATCTTATCTTTAAAGTCACCATGAAATCAAAATGTACAAGTCATATTTATTTCATGGAATATTGCAGTATTTATTATTAATGATCTGTGCAGATTATTATTATTATTATTATTTATCTGCCCTCGATCTGCCTGCCTTGATCTTTGATCAAAATCTCTTCTCTTCTCTTCTCTTCTCTTCTCTTCTCTTCTCTTCTCTTCTCTTCTCTTCTCTTCTCTTCTCTTCTCTTCTCTTCTCTTCTCTGATGACGTGTTTACTGGCACGAGGGTGGGACACCTGTCATTCACATGAGAACACAGCAAGGCTTTATGCCGAGCGTCACGTGACCAAGCCGGAAAACAGATCACATCGCTTCCGATTCAGGACTTTTGTATGTGCTTCATGAAATTTTTTGGGGTTTTACTCAAGATAACTTAAAAGGAGCAAGCAAAAATGAGCATAACCAATGTCCCTCGCATGTGCAGATAATTGATATTTAAAAGTTTTTAAATTTTTCTTCTTCACACTAACGTTTAGAATAGCATAAAACACCAATAACAAAGTGAACTTAGTAGGTTAGCTGATTACCTTAAAAATCCATAGATATCGTAGTTAGTTCTTACGGCCGTTAACACTTTCTCTGACAAGCGGATGCAATGAGACCTGTTTTCCGGTTTGGTCACGTGATGCTTGGCATAAACATAAAGCCTATAGCAAACCACAACCATCCAATCAACGCCCTACATTTTTTTTACTTGTTCGAGAAGCTGCTTCATACGTCACAATAGTAGGCAAAGACTATAGGATAGACTATAGTCTATAGACTATAGTGAAGGAAAGACTATAGCAACTTCTGTTTTATGTCGACTTTAAGATTCTTTTGATTTTGTACATGCTACCCTTGTAGATATTGCTCTTTTTGTGTGTTGCATTTACATTTATGCATTTGGCAGACACTTTTATCCAAAGCACTTACTTGTATTAAAGGAATACATTGTATCAGATCATGCATTCCCTGGGAATCAAACCCATGACCTTGGCGTTGCTAGCACCATCCTTTTTTTCAGCTACAGGAATAGTGCATGTCACGAATGTGGATGGGGTAAAAGGAAGGCCTACTTGTCCTATGATGGTTAGCGTTATATAAAAGTTAACACTATGTTATGAGCGAACATCAGGCCGTTGACAATGAGTCCAGGCCTTTTATGTCTTTGATAGAGATTAAGAAAGAAGTCTTGGCTAGCTGAGTGGCTGTGTGAAGTAGTTGATCAGCTGTGTGGAAATAGAAAAAAAAGTATTATGGTTAAGTTAGAGCTGCACGATTAATCATTAAAAGATCACAATTTCGATTCAAACACCCAAACAATCTCATTCCTAAATGGCAATGATTCGCCTGTGTCTATTAAATCTTTGACAAAATCACACCGGAACATTCAAATCTGAGTTTGCGCTGCCGCTGACCCCGGGGAGAGCAGTTGTCATGCATAGGTATGAAACAACTTCCCGAACAGTTTCGTTATTTCTGTGTTACAAATATTCAAATTATCAGAAGTGGGATACAAGTTTATAGTTCGGATAAAAAAAAAAATGTATACGGTAACGTTAAAAGCCTATTTGTCATTGAATCATTCATTCAAGAGATTTGTTAAAAAACGCCGATTAAACGCCTTTGATGCTTAAAGTAGGTTTTTAGATATATTCCCCTGAACCTAAATTAAGTAAATAAAGGGACCTCCTATAATAAAATCTGACCACACTGACATTCAATACAAATCTCATTCACTTTCCACAGCCTTTATGAATGCATAGCTCTTCTGAATTCATTTTTCACATGCAGTCAGCAGAGATGATATGCGGAATGTAATTCATTAGACATTAACGTCTCCCAATTCTACCCCCACTTTTTTTGGCCTAGTCTTTAAACATCTTGACTCACGTAAACATCCAAAAGGGGGGTCTGCCAGTGTTTCATGTCCCATATTTTGTTTTGAAGTTTGGAAAGTTGAAGACTTGTCCTGAGCCTCTCCAATGCTGAGCTATTTTGTAAACATGCTTTACAAAAACCAGCTCCGTTCCTCCAGCAGGATCTCAAGCTGCACATCAGATGCTCAGTGAAGAGGTTTTGATGTGAGATGCATCAAACACAACATTCTTTTCTGAAAGACAGATCCGTTTGGCTTGTACATGCTGGAGATGATCCAGAAAAATGACTTAATTTGTCTCCAGCACGATACTCAAAATGGCTTGCAGACATGTTATAAAACTTTATTTGATTTAAATCCTATTTATGGTGTTGATTTTGTAACACTTTTTAGTTGTTTGTAAGTACAAGTGCTTTATAATTTGATGTTGTGTTTTATTCTCCTCCAGATTGGCTCTGGGAGATCCATCAGCGTGTCTTCCTATTGTGAGCTTTACCTTCACGTCCTTTTCCCCCTCACTCACAGAGCACCTGGTCGATTATGGTGTGGAATTAAGCGGAATGAATGATTTACGATTTATTGAGAATGTTTACAAGGTGAATTGCATGAATGTAGCTTATTAAATATTATTTTAGCTTGTTATTGAATATGAAGAATATATTTTAAAGGGATAATTCATAAAATAAAATTCTGTCATTGCTAACTCTTCATTTCTTTTTCTGTGGAACATAAAAGTAAGATATTTTGAGAAATGTTTCTGTGTTCCTTTTTGTCATTTCTATGAAAGTCAGTGGTCACCAAAACTGGTGGTTACTAACATTCTTCAAAATATCTTATTTTGCATAAACAAAAAAAAAAAAAGTATAGGTTTGACACAACATTAATAAATAATTGTAATTTTTGGGTGAATTATCCCTTTAAACTCTTGTGTTTAACAAATTGAGTCACAGTTCAGTTAAAAGGCTATTTAATACAGCTAACATGGTTTAGCTATTGGATAATTTTCATTTGAAATCAACAACAGATCTTTATTAGCATGCATGTTTGTGATATTGCAGCCCCTTTTAATTTGACTTTTATAAACTGTTTGCCGTTTCATTCAAGAGCTAGTGGTTTTGAGGAGGTGGTTGTTTTAAATGGATCCAAGTGGTCGGAGTTGCTTTGTTTCAGTTATGAGGACAGAAAGTTCATTTCTGAGGTAAAGAATTATAGAGTTTAGAGCTATGACCAAACCGAGTCGATGATAATGTTTTTCACATCGCCTTTAATGAGGTGGATTTTTTTTTATGAAAAGCAATTTCACATGTAATTAAACTTACAAAGCCATATTTACTGGCACTGTCCCTGATCTCAGAGGGTTTTAACCCCCAAATCAGAAACGCAGGTCTCTTCCAGAGCTCTGTGATTCGGAGCATCTGTAACCCCATTCTCCGGCATTCAGATGTTCTGGCAGCTCTTCTCCACCAAGTCTTGAGTAATTAAAATGCTCTGCTCACGTCTCTCTCCTGCAGTGTCCTTCATGTTGGTCCAAGTCATCTGATCTCAGATTAACTCAAAGCTGATTCTGTACGTTTAACCGTTGGACTGAAGAGCTGCTCTGTCTTTTGACACTTCCTCCTCTTCATTGACCTTTTGTGCAGTTCTAAAAGTTCTGGCCTTCGTCCCAGGATCATCTGCAGAGTCAGACTGCAGCTCACATGAAATATTCTTGGGGGAATTAGTGGTCCCAGTATATTACCTTGAGGGCCTCGATGGCATTTGCTAAAAATTAGAGTTGTTGTAACAGGAAAGTAGTGTTTAGCAGTTCTATCATATTTTTCCAGTCATCATTTTTCCCCTTTGCGCTACAGCTCATTGTTTACATCTGGCTTAGTCCTCCTGTGATTAGTCTTGGTGGCTCCTCTGGAGTTCCTCCTGTACCAGAAATTCTACAAATCAATTTTTTGTTTGTGATTTTAATCCACTGAGGGGATCATTTCCTTCCAAGTCCTTTAATATGTTAAACCCCTGAAGTTGTAATATTTATTTTAGCACTCTTTTTGTTGTATCTGCATTTTCATGGGAAAATCTCTTAAAATGTAGGTCTTGCGGGATGTTTTCAGCTATAAGCCGTTGTTGACCAAACAGCAGTTTCTTCAGTTTGGCTTTGCTGAGAGGAAAGTCACCATTCTCTGTGATATCATTGGCCTTATTCTCAACAAGCACAAAGAACTGACAAAAGAAACCAAGGTATCTCAAACAATTTTTTTTTTTTTTCTAATATAGCGATAAGCGAAATAGGTACCATTTCAGTTATCAGACAATTTTAGAGATTGTTTTATTTAAAGGGTTAGTTAACCCAAAAATGAAAATTCTGTCATCATTTACTCTCCCTTATGTTTTTCCAAACCCGTAAGACTTTTGTTCATCTTCGGAACACAAATGAGACATTTTGAATGAAATCAATATAGAAAGATTTTAATCCCGCTGTTGACAGTCTACGCAACTACCACTTTGACGCTTCAAAAAGTTAAAAACTAATTCATATGAATTGAGTGGTTTAGTCAAAATTTTCTGAAAAGACTCGATCGTTGTATGATGAACAGATTTAATTGATGCTTTTATTCACATTTAAACATTGTTGAGCGATCATGAACAGAAGCTCAACCATAACTGATTAAAACAGTAACCTCATTGGTTCTTGCTGAAGCTTCATATGTGCTGCGTAACACATGAGAATGAACCTCATTGGTTCTTGCACGTCAAGCAAGCATGTTAGAGCTTCCGTTTACCACAACTGATGTGTGAGTTGATGAATGTTTATATGTGAATTAAAGCCTAAATTCAATTTGTTCATCATATAAAGTGATTATGTCTCTTCAGAAAATTTGGACTAAACCGCTCAGATTTCATAAAAAATGTTTTTATTTGTGTTCTGAACATGAACAAAAGTCTTACAGGTTTGGAACAACATGAGGGTGAGTAAATAATTTGGGTGAACTAACTCTTTAAATTCGATAATTCATTTTGCATTCTCATTTCCCCCATTTTTACTTTTACGTTTTTACATTTGCTGTCATCTGTCCCTTAAAGTTAATCTTTAAAAACACGAATATTAAATAACATTTTTAACATATTAAATAAAACTGTTAAATGTAATATTTAGCAAATCACTAAATCACTTGTAGCATTTAAAGTGATTTTAGTTTTAATCTATTTCGAAGAAAATATGATAGAATTTTAATATCAGACATTTATTGGTTATTGGCCATATTGTATTTATTTATGTTTATTATGTATATTTTTATATTTGAATTGAATAAACAGCAAATTGTCTTACAGCATGCCAGTAAGCCAAAGAGAAGGCCTCAGTTGAAGAGCTGCATTAAAAATGAGATCCCTTCTCCTGAGAGTAACTCACTGGTGTTAACAGCCCTGACAGTAAGTGTAAACAGAATTGACTGTAAAATACACATAATCGATTTGATGATGATGATAATAATAATTGTTATTGTTATTATATCTGCTTCTTTCCCTCTTAGGTACCTCAGAAGCAGCCACTGGTAGAAAGGCATCTTGGCAGCAGCTCAGCACCAGCTCAGATCAGACGCTGCTCAGATGAAGAGGAAACAGAAAAGAGGGAGTTAGACAGTGAGGATCTTGAGGATTCAACTCAACCCAAAGATTCCACTGTGAGTGCACATCCTGCAACACATGGGAGGTGCATGAGTAATCATCCAGTTGAGAGCACATTATGCACCAACTAGTCAGTTTTCAGTGTCACATGATCCTTCAAAAATCATTCTAATATTCTGACGTGGTGCTCAAGAACATTTCTTATTATCAATGTTGAAAACAGTTGCTGCTTAATATTTTTGTTGAAACCTTTATACATTTTTTCAGGAATTTTTGATGAATAGAAAGTTCAATACAACAGCATTTTTTTTTTTTTAATCATTTTAAATGTTTTTACTGCCACTTTTGATCAATTTAATGCATCCTTGCTGAATAAAATCAATGCATTTTATATTATTATTTTAAAATCTTACTGATCCCAAACTTTTCAATTAACTTTAATACATTTTTTTTGGGTAATCATTTACTTTTTTTGTGTGCGTTGTGGAACTAAACTACACAATTACTCAAATTGCCAATTTCTAGTACACACAATCATCTGCAAAATTCTGAAGGTGTTCAATCCACTCTAATGCACATGGGGTCTCTTTAGGATTGTGTGTTAGAGAGCCGGCTGAGGGGCGTGGAGGTAAGTCTTCTGGAGAGTGTTGGCAGACTGGAGCAGCGATTGGCCCTCATGGAACACAGGATACATGCTCTGGAGAAAAGCTTGGCTGGCAAGATTATCATCGAGAGCAACCAGTGGGAGAACTTGGAGAGTCGTGTGCTGCTGCTGGAGACCAGGCTGGCACTGACCTCAGCACAGGTAGGGGAGTTTAACATCTTTTTGGAAGTTACATTTCATTTAATTTTGCAATTGTGGCATAATGCTGTTTTCTCCCAAAACTCATTTTGATGATCAAGCTTGCGTTACGGGATGAAAAGCAGTGACAGTCAGCACAGATACACACACTATAGCAAAGCTCTCACGTTTCAGTTTCGAAGTTGAAAAATTCATATGGAAAATATGTTGTTTTATGAAGACTGCAAACCACTTTAGAGGTCAGATTCCAGTCTACAGCAACTGATTTGTTCAGGGAAACAGAATTTTGTTGCAATTTAATATCCTAATATAACAGTTCATGGGTGTGTCATTTTGTTTTGTGATTTGTTTTAAAATGACAAGTTGGCATTGCATCTCTTGAGAAGTGTATATGTGTTATATGGTGCTCACAAAAGTTTTCTCTACTCTTCAGGGTCTAACTTCACAAGATGGGGTCTTCAACTCAGGCAAGGTTGAATTTAAAGAGAATACAGGTACTTTGCAATGTTTTAGCTCTTTAATTTGAATAATTTAAATACGGTAAATTAAATATTCATAAAATCTCAAATATCTTTTTTTCCTTTTGTATCTGTTAAAGTATCTGCAAGTGGCTTTTCTACTGTGATTCAATCACCATCTGACATCAGTGATAATGGGCATCTTCTAGCCAGTTCTCCTCCTCCAACTGCTACCCAGGTGACCATCCATCCATCCATCCATCCATCCATCCATCCATCCATCCATCCATCCATCCATCCATCCATCCATCCATCCATCCATCCATCCATCCATCCATCCATCCATCCATCCATCCATCCATCCATCCATCCATCCATCTTATTTTCAACAGAAATTTGTTTAATAACTATTGTATATTTTTCTTCCAATTTCTTAGAATTTTAAAGAAAGGCTGGACAGAATAGTTTACATGTAAGTGTTGTTATTTTTATAAAACGTAATAAATAGTTTAATATTTCGCTTGAAAAATTGTCACTTAGACAAATACTGCACATCAATACATTGTTTGTTCCTTTCCCATTTCAGGATGAAGGATACAGCTAACATTCTGCAAAATATAGAGCCGACAATGTGAATTTGATCTCAGTCCAAGTTTTTAAAAAAATGTGTCATTATTTATTCACCCTCACATTGTTCCAAACCTGTGTGTTGTTTTTCAGTTTTCTGAGAAATAAGTAAATAAAATTAAGTTTATAAAAGTTTATAAAATTATGTTTGCTTTGCTCTTACTATACAGTAAACCCACATAGTGATCAGAAGTGGTCAAACTCCAAAAAGGGGGAAAAAAGTATCATAATAACAGACCATGTGACTTGTGTGCTATATTTTTTCCTGACTTTCTGACAGACTTTGTGACCAACAGAACAAAATTGTAATTCATTGGAAACCTTGGCCAACACTGTAGCTTTCAAATCACATATGGCGCCTTCGCTTCACATCTGGTTGGATGTCAATGACATCATCAGTCGTCATTGGTTCTTGTGTTTCGTGATCAAATGTTGTGAGTCTCACGTGTGGCACCATATTTGTTTTTAAAATGATAGTTTTTGTCTATTTTGGAGCTTGACTAACATGTTCACTATGGAAAACGAGCTGTGTGAAGTGTTCCACTGACAAAAAGCAACATACAAGACTGGAATGAGTAAAGGGTGAGGAAAATAATTCGTATTATTATTTGTTGGGTGGACAATATTTCACATTATGCCAATATATAGTTTTTTTTTTTTTTTTTACCTTATGCCTTCCAATTGATTCTACAGTTGCATTGACATGCAAATAAAGTGTCTTGTCCTCTAGATGTCACTGCTACCCAAGTAAAACATAATGGTGAAATAGTCTATGGCGCCCTCTGTGGTCAGTGTTTTGTATTGCACTCTGTGAAAGCAACATCAGCCCATTACCACACAACAGTTGTGCATTTACTTGAATATCAGGTAAAGTAAAGGTGTGTAATGACTGGGTGATGTCTCTGTGCATTAATATTAATGGCATGTATTTGTTATTGTATGAATCTTTCTTTAGCACATGCTCTGAAAAGGGGAATAAAGTCTGAATGTACAACGTTTAATGTAGTTAAAGTAGACACGCTTGTGAAAGTAACTGGCATGAGTTTGGGATGTGACTCTCTTGTGTGTTTTCGACCAATGACAGATGAGGGAGTGTTTGTAGAACTTATTGAATGATTACTTAATACCTGAGAGTCCATCTCTTGTACTGATCCAGGTAGAGGGACATTTCCCCCCAAAATTTTCCTTTAACCCGGAGTTATTTGATGTATTTTTAAGAACAGTTTCTGTATTAATGTTTGGTAGTAATTTGAGCATGTTTCTGAGTTCAGTTGACCTTTGGATGGTCTTTTGGTGTTGGGTGTCATTGCACAAGTTATCACATTCATCAGATTTCAGTTTGCCTTAAAAAAAAAAAAAAAACATGAAAGATCTGACTTTGACCCAGCGATGTCTCACAAAAAATGCATCAGAGGTCTGACTTGGTCTCACAGGACAGATTTACCCTTCTCATATTTCTGTACAAGGCAATGATGTTAAACTGTTTTTTCATCAGTGGATTTTCTCTCTGACAACATATAGACAACACTGACCTCTGGTCGTTCTTCCAGACTTTCCTTTCGGTGCCCTATATATATATATACTGTGCAGACACAATGGGAATTGCTCTGTTGAGATCAGTTGGACACAAAGCAGTCATGGAGAGGAAAAGAAAGGTCAGATGACCACTGTAATTATGTTGAAGGAGAGTGTGTGCTTGTGTTTGTGTGGTTAGTCAGCATGCCCGTGTGTGTGTGTGTGTATATTGAATAGCAGTGAGAGTTGGAAGAGATGCTCAGACATATTCTTTGGGAACTGATGTGTGTCCAATGGACGGTTTTACCTCACTAATCTGAAGGGAATGCACAATGTCTCCACTAGCCACAATACAGGGTTTTCCTGCTGTCTGCATTTTAACAAAACTGCTTTAATTTGTATTAATATTTGAATAACTTTTGATTTTTTTTTCAAAACATTTCTAAGAACTTCGTAGACAGCAACATTTTTTAAAGTTTTCTTTTCATTAGTGTGAACAAACTTCACAAGAACAAGCTATGTCATTGACCCATATACCAACTCTGCTATATAACATCATAACCTGGGCCCCAGAAACCCCCTGTGGAATCAACAGGCCTCTGGCAGGGGCCAGATGTGAATGGGAAAGACTTTTTTTTTAAAACCTTTGCTCTGCTATCTCCTTGAGACTGCATGTGAGTTTCTCAGTAGCCACATCGAGTAGATGTTTTTTATTTTTTTTATTTTTTTAAATCAGTCTAACTAGAACTGGATTTATAGAGTGAGAACTTTTTGAATACCGGGTACTTAAAAGTGGATTCTTTGAGCCACTTAAGCCTCGTTCAGACTGGCAGCTAAAATCCGATTTTTGTGCATCTGATTGGAATTCGATTATATTTAGCAAGTGTGAACGGCATAAAATCTGTTTTGAGCTACAATCTATTGTGGTTTGAAAACCTTTTCAAATCGCATTTCTGGAAATCCGTTTCAGTCTGATTTCGCATGGTTTATGTCACTTTCTTTCGCTACGTCAGATGTTAGGTAACATCCAGAAAAACAAGGATGTGTTGTTGAAAAGTTCCGATCAAGCAGAAAAGTATAATATAATGGAGATTGGAGACATGTTGAATTTTAAGACTGGCGGTGAGGATGACAACACAGAATAAAGCCGTATACCAGAGCCTGCTACATTTCTGCAGCTGACGACGTAATCATCCTGCACGGTGACGTGGCTACACATTGGGTGCTTCTCAAATCCCTCCTCGTCTCCTCGCTCCTCCCAAGGGGGTAATCCATCGACCGGAAGTTGAAGCCGGCCGGGTGTCGCCATGTTGTAGCAGAACTTCACTTGGGTTAGCATTTCCATTGACTCCCATTCATTTTGGCGTCACTTTGACAGCGAATAACTTTACATCTGAGGCGTTTAAAGACTCCATTTGTCCATTGTTTATTTCTAAAGAAACACGACAATGTATAAAGGGCTCCATTACCTTCTATGTTACATTATGGCCCCGTAGAAACAGATTTAGTAAAAAATAGGCTAACGATTGCGTCATAACCACTCGACTCTCTGTCGCGCTGTACAGAAATTACCGTACAGACAGCAGGAGAAGCTCGCAGGCAATCGGGGGGACGTCCCGTCAAGAGAGAAGCCCATAGATAATGAGTCCATAAAAGCAACGGAATACTTACTCCTGCTCACTCACGCCAAAGAACTCTTTGCTCAAGTTCCCCGTCTCTGCAAGATTAACGTTGGCTATTTTCACGCACAGCTACTAGAAGATTAACGTCTGTCAGACAGGTTGCTCACGTCATCAAGCTTAGTTTGAGTCGGTTTGAGTCTGCGCGTCAGGAACGGAAGTGCTCAAAAATCGCTAAAAATGGGCTTCAACTGTCTCAACTGAGTTCCAATGAGATGGCTCTGTCCACTTCTTATACTGTCTATGGCTCCTCCCCTCTGGCTCCTCCGTCCTCCATCCTATGACCCGGAAACCGATCGAGCTCAGCCATCTTAAAGGACACCGCGAGGATCGAGGAGTGAGGAGGCTTCCAGAGGAGCTATGAGCGAGGATACACAGATACACAGATACAAGAGTTTTATCGACTAAACATGACGCACGTAACAATTCTCCTCCCCCTTCACATCTGTCACAATCATTTGAATTTATACTTTACTTTTGTAGTTTACATAAACCACGCAACTCACATATTTCAACAAGGTATCTTGCTTTATTATTATTTATTATTAATTTCTTAAATAAACAAACTGAGGACGAACAAACAACATAATGGCAGATCCTTTGAGCACTGCTGATGACGCAGTGAAATGACGTTCGAGTGGTCAAGTATTCCAATGTATAAAAAAGCTTTCATTCAAATCCTCCGTCCTCATTTTTTTTCCTTGCAGCCTTCCCTCGCGTCCAGGGGGTGGAGCTGAGACGCGAGGAAATGAAACGAGGATGCACAAATAAGAAATGAGAAGCACCCACTGCCATGTCAGACTGATCTCATGAAATGGCGTATGTATGACACGCCAATTCGTATTTCCATTTTTGGCGTGCTATTAACACGCATAATCGCTTTTCAGCGTGTTAATCAACGCCGTTGACTTAACGTTATATTACTGTATATAGGCTATAAATATATGACCTACCCCAACCCCGTCCTTAAACCTACCCGTCACTGGGGTTAATACCATTTATGAGTCTTCCCCTACCATCCTAGGAAACAAATATCGCTCCCCAGATGTAGATCTACATTTTTCTTCGTTTCGCTCGGACATTTAACGGCGTGTACATACACGCGGGATCACTCGGATATTTAACGGCGTAGACATAGGCCTACACGCAAAAGATGACGGTTCGTTTCGGCGTGGACATACACGCGGATAGCTCAAAATGCGTATAGAATAGATAACAGGCCACTTGACTTGAAAGTGGCGTGTATGTTTACGCAAAGTCATGATGTCATGTTGACCATGTTGTAAGCAAGACAAAATATGCATTGCCAACCCCTCCATGTTGCTGTTTTTGTTATTTTTGCCGTATGCCTAACACGTTATTGCCATAAAAACCAATGCAGCTAGTCCAGAAAACGAAAGAGGTCCACGGGACACACAAATCAGATCCGAACATCTGGATAGTAGGCAGATAGTGTGGAAAGTCAATAATTTAGTTCCGATTCCAATCGGATACAGAAATAATCGGAATTGGACTGACACTGTGAACATAGCCTTAGTAAGTTAACTTTTGAGATATTTATTAAATAGTTTTTGCTTTAAACAGGCATTACGGGGCGGCAATGGTTCAGTGGTTCATGTAGGTTTTCTACAAACCGGAAGGTTGGTGGTTCAATCCCCGGTTCCACCTGACCAAGTGTCGACTTGTCCATGAGCAAGACACCTAACTTCAGCTGCTCCCGACGAGCTGGATGGCGCCTTGCATGGCTGACACTGCCGTCGGTGGGTGAATGAATGGGTGAATGCGAGGCAATATGTAAAGCGCTTTGGTGGCCATGGGTCTGTTGAAAGTCTGTCTGTATACAAATGCAGTCCATTTACCATTAACTATTTTTTTCTTTTTTTTCCTTTACATTCTCAACTGTGGTTGGGCATTTTACACCACCACTCAAAAGTTTTTTTTTTTTTTTTTTAAGAAATCAGTAGCCTTCTTTTATTCAGAGAGTGTCATTAAATTGATCAGAAGTGACAGTTAATGCATGTTTAATGTTACAAAAGATTTATCTCAAATAATTGCTATTCTTTTGAACTTTCCACCAACATATTAAACAACACAACTGTTTCCAACATTTATAATAATAGGACATGTTTCCTGATCACCAAATCAGAATTAGAATGATTTCTGAAGGATAATTTG